AGGGGATGAAGATTTTATTCGAGAATACTGCAATAAGGGAAAGAGACTAGAACTCAGTCTGTGCTCAACAAACTGAAAAAAAAAAAAAAAGAAAAGAAAAAAGACTGGGGAATTTGTAAGACTTAGCATGGGAGGAATCATAGGCTGCCCTGTTTGCTAACTGGCCTTCCTCAAAGGGTAAGTAAACTTTCTTCCATCTTCATGATAGAAGATAATTTTATAACTTGTGGTAGGGTCAAGTCAGAGGGTGGCTTCCATTCCCCCAGAGAAATTAGAAAACTGGAGCCCTGTCTTCCTTGATGATTACATTTCAAAGGGATGGTTCCTGATACTTGAGAATACATTTCTGGGTTTTAAACCTCACAAGAAGATTTGAAAGATTTATATCTCAAAGAGGAAGAGAAAAAAAAATTACAATTACCAGTTTTCTAAAGCAAATGTTCTAAGAAAAGGGAGGTCAGGGGCCTAAAGTCATGAAGAAAACCTAACATGTATCTTTCAGTCAAAAATTTATTCTTCAGTCAAAAGGCATAATCTCTCATGGATGTAAATCTATCTACGTGTGTTAGTTTCCTGGTGATTTTTTCAAGCATTGATTCAGGCAAAAGTGTAATTTCCCTATCTGGATTCATGGAACTTACGTTGTGTACTATTATCTTAATATAACTATGTCTAAGAATTATATTTATCTTCCTCTGGGATATCAGATTTTATGTATGGAATCTCTTGGTGAAAAGGTAAAGAAGTGCTCAGGAGATAGTATATAGCAATCTAGGAGAAGTTCCTGCATTTTGCACACTTGAAATGCAAACACTGGAAGTGTTGTTTCATTATTTCTAGTTCTTATCTGTCTATACTTGGCATCTGTAACACTCCTGAGATTGCATTAGCTAGTAACTGACTAAGTATTACTGTTGGGTAGAAATTTCACATTAAACCTTGTATAGGATGCTGGACTTTACTGTGTCTAGGCTAAGGATGACAGCTTTGGAATCAAGTCAAAAAGACTTCTACAATCTAAGCATGATTGCTATTAGTGTAAGAACTTACCTATTTGGAAGGGATTATGGTTTAGGTAGCCTTTCAGAGTAGTAGCTAATTTTCTCAAATGCAGTTCAAAGAGAAGGATATTCAACACCCACTGAGAAGGGTGAAATTTCTTGAAATAAATAATTAATCCTGGTGGTTTAAAACATAAGGCCACAGAAGAGAAAGTGGTTATGGAATCTCCAAAGTAAGACCTGGGGATAGTAAGGGATATATTGGGCTTGGGGCCACTAGTGCTAAGTGGACTAGAAGATCTACATTCTAGAGAATAAGGTAAGGGAACACAGTGACATCAAAAACGGTAATAAGATTTGTAGTATAGAGATCCTAAAAAGTGAAGAGACAGAAAAGAAAGCAGAAATTTTACTTGAAGAATAGCTGAAAACATTCAAAGGAAATTGATATACAGATCCAGGAGGCACAGAGAGCCCCCAACAAAAGAAACCCAAAGAGGTCCACACTAAGACACAATGATTAAACGGGATAAAGAGAGATTTTTTTTTATTTTTAAAGATTTTATTTAATTATTCATGAGAGACAGAGACAGAAAGAGAGAGAGAGAGAAAGAGGCAGAGGCAGAGGGAAAAGCAGGCTCCATGCAGGGAAGTCCCATGACATGGGACTCGATCCCGGACCTTCAGGATCATGCCCTGGGCTGAAGGCAGCACCAAACCACTAGGCCACTGGGGCTGCCCCAAAGAGAGAATTTTGAAAGCATCAAGAGAAAAAAAAAGTTATATAGAAGCAAAACTCCATAAATCTATCAGTTGATTTTTCAGCAGCAACTTTGTAGGTCAGAAGGGAGTGGCATGATATACTCACATTGCTGAAAGGAAAAAACAACCTGCAGCCAAGAATACTCTATCCAGCAAGACTATCATTCACACTGAAGGAGACATAAAGAGTTTTCCACACAAACAAAATTTATAAGAGTTCATCACCATGAAACCAGACTTACAAGAAATCTTAAAGGGAATACTTTGAGTGGAAAGAAAAGATCATAGTCTGGAGAAAGAAAAGTATGAAAGGAAAAAAAATTACAGGTAAATAAAAAGATAGTGAAAGCACTAGATTAATCACTTATAAAACCAGTTCTGAGGTGAAAATACAAAAGCAATAAAATCAACTATATGTAAAAAACATCAGTTAAGGCATTCACAGAATGAAAGAATATAAAGTATAGTATCATACATATAAAATAAGGGGGGTAAAAAATCAGTGCTTTTAGAATGGGTATAAACTTAAGTGACCATCAACTTAATAAGACTTCTAGTTGAATAAGATGTTATAAATGAGCCAATGGTAATCATAAAAAAAAATCTACAACGATTTGGAATCATAAACTGAATTTGAAACTATTGTATTTTCTTTCAGAGGAACTGCTAATCAAAATCAGAATGAATACGTGAATTACAGCTCCTCACAAGAAATTTGGAGTGTACTCTGGAATGGATCACCTAGGAAGACATATTTAAGAATAATTATATGAAACTGATCCATTTATTATAATGTGGAAGAATTTTAAGCTTGATTTAATTTTTTTAAGTCCAGACATAGCTATATACTCATTGAAATTAAAAGATTAATGTTGCCAGTTTAAAAAAAAAAAAAAACTCCAGAATAAAAAAAAAAATAGTAACATGAAAAATTCACACATTCATTTATCAATAAATTTATTGAGCACTTACCAAGTACAAACCAGTAAGTAAAAATGTGCTGGGTTCTATTGTCTATTAAAGATTTTATAATTTCTGCTTTTAAGACTTTATACTCTGCTAAAGAAAAGAGTAACATTTTCTAACTATACATCATACAATTTATAATGTAAAATATATGATGTTTGTAAATATAAAGACAATTGTATTTTTCATAGGAGTGTTTTCTTACATATATTTTTGGAAAAAAAAATAATTAAATAGTTCAAGGCTCCTGCCAGAGAATAAAATGAATTTCATTTCTTATTACAGAGATAGAAAGTAAAAAAAAAAAAAAAAAAATATATATATATATATATATATATATAATTTTTAAAATACACAATGCACTTTGGTTTATATTGAGTTATATTAATTATAATTTATATTTAAATAATATAGCCATTTAATTGAAAAAATAAATAATTGATCCAGCTAAAATTTAGTTACAGCATTTTGAAAAAAAAAATGGTACCATGAAAGCACTTCCAATATTTCTAATAATATGTCTAGCACAAAATTAATATTCTAAGTTCCAAAATGCAATACATGTTGCCATGTAACTATTTAGGTTGGTTTTTCAGCAGTGGGTAGAGATTTTAAAAGATATGATGCACAGATGAATCTGATTCAAAGAATTATCAGAACATTATGTCCTAAAACCAAACACTTCCAATTTGATTTTTTTTTTAGTTGTAGAACATGTTCTGAGCAATCTTCATCCCATTTTTCTGAATCCTGATCAATTGTTTTTCATTCTGTGAATATGAGTAACTCTCAAATGAATATACTTAGGATATTCAACGTCATTTATTTCATATCAACCAGTTTCTTTTCCCTAGGCTAAATCTGCATAAAGAGCTCAAAGGGCTGTCCATTAGATACGTATGTTATAGATAAAAAAAAAAGTATGTTTTACATTCAAAAAATTAAAATGTCCACAAAAACAATTTTTTAAAAATGGATGTTATGAATTTTTCAGTGTGGTGCTAAAAAAAAAGGCATATAATACTGATGATTTTACATTTGAAGGACATCTCAAATTACTTCCATAAATTCCAATCTAAATAGAAGCGTCAGGCCAAAGAGTCCTCAAAATCAATTATGGCATAAAAAGTACTCTTGAAATCTGTATTTAAAGAGGCTCCATTTTCTAAAAGGATGAGGAAGGTAAAATTCAAAGGAAAAACATCCACCTATCTCCAATACCCATGCTCTCTAGAATAGTCCCAAGAAAAGGGAAAATAATGAGGTGGAAAGGAAGGGTTTACAGCCAGCAAAATGAACACATCTTGGAAATTAAAGATAGCTGCAAATTTCAGTTGGCATTCTCTCAATACTGAGCTTAGTCGTGAGTCTTCTAAATACACTCACATGCCACACACGTTAAGTGCTTTTAAAAAATCAAAGTTTATATAAAGTCTTTCAAGGTTAGAGAAGAATATTTTATTATCAATGAAAAGATCCCCGAAATAGATGCCAATGGCCCAAATCCAACCAAGAGGAAAAAGAGAAATTGAATAGTATAGAGAAATCAGAATTTCGAGAAAAACTCAGAAAACATAGCTGATCTTCCTGAGTCAGGAGCATTCATTTAGGTCCCTAACACCACAGGTCTGGAGTCTGTAATCAGTTTTCTAAAACAGCTCTCAGACACTTTTCTCTTGACTCTTTTCTGTGCCTCTTTTCTTTTCTCTGACTCTAATTTATCTTGCACACTATCTCTGGATTAATCTCCTTCAGGCCCTTTCATTCTATTAGTGTTCAAAAACTACAGCTCCCAATTCCTTCCTAAACAGATTTAACAGCTCCTGCTTTTTTTTTTCCTTTTTCAGATTCCCTGCAATTTTTCTACCTCCCACTTAGACAAGACTATTTTACACTAACCCAAACATAGAACTTTCTCTAGAGCTGGTATCATCATTTATTTCACCATGCACTTGACTATCGCCCAAACCTTGCTCAATTTGCTTCCTTCTTGAAAATACCATCCTCTCCTCTCCCTAGCTGAAATCCTTTCTTCCCACTCCTTAAGCTTCTGCTTAGGTCCTGATTTACTGACACTTTGTATGTTTACTATTTACTTTGGTCTCTTCTGATTATCCCATCTGAATTCTTATAGAGATATTATTTGTTGGGGTGTAATTTACAGCTTGGGTGTCTATTATTTTGTAATTTTCATTAACTTGCAGGGGCATGAAGTCATAGGTCATCTCTAAGACAGTAAGCTTGGAGTCCTATTAAAAATACCAATATTGTATGCCTTACACTTAGGAGTAAGCAAAATAATGACTCAGTGTGACGCCTAAATCCTCACTGCTAATGTGAGACAAATTTTTGAGCTCGACAAGGTTTCTGCTAAAGTGATCCACCTAATTTGTGGGATGCCTGGGAGTCGCAACCTGCTGTTCCCCTTTAACACTAAAAGCCAGACTGGCACGAAGGTAATAAACAAGGTTGAGAAGGTGCCTGTTTCCTATAGGCAATAAATTGGATTAGTCTGGGAGGTTTAAAAAAAAAAAAAAAACACATCATATAAAAATGGATGAAGGGGAGAGGGAGATACAGGCTTCCAGTTCTGGAATGAATATGTCAGGGAAATAAAAGGCAGAGGATAAGGTATATAGTCAATGATATTGTAACAGCAATATAATGCAAGAGATGGTAGCTACACTTGGGATGAACATAAGATATAAACTTGTCATATCACTAAGATGTATATCTGAAACTAATATAACAGTGTCAACTATACTCAAATTAAAAAAAAACTATATATAGTATAATGGCAAACAAAATAAAAACAAGTGAAGGAATTGAATATAAAGGCAGGATATTAGTCTTGTAGGGCTATGATAACAAAATATCACAAAGTGGGTGGCTTAGAACAACAGAAATTTATGTTTTCACAGTCCTGGAGGCCAAAGTCCGAAATTAAGGTGTCAGCAAGCCCATGCTCCCTCCGTGTATAAAATCTTCCATGCCTCTTCCTAGTGCCTGGCGGTAGCTGCTAACTCTTAACATTCCCTAGCTTACAGCTGCATCACTCTAATCTCTGCCTCTGTTGTGCATGGCATACTCTCTATGTACCTGTGTCTACACTTTGTCTTCCCTCTTTTTAGAAAAGGACTGGTCATACTGCATTACGGGCCCACTCTGCTTCACTATGACTTCATCTTAACTATACCTGCAACAACTCATTCCAAATAAGGTCACACTCCGGGGTACTGAAGCTTAGAGCTTTAATATATACTTTTGGAGGATGCAAATCCACCCTTCCAACCCAGAGGCAATAAAAACTGAGGTGCAAAGTAACTCTGAATTTAATGAATAAAATATATCCTGAGAAGTTCAGCCTGTATGTAAGAAGTAGGCAACACCTTTTCCTCTAAAAATAATGAGGCTATGTGATCAACCATTTGATTCAGAGTTTGTTAAGATGTATGCCAACAAATTATAAAGGAAAACACAGAAATGGTGCATGGATCCCAAGGGAAATTTATCCTAAGGGAGCTGATGAAAGAGAATAGTGGATGATTTAGAAAACAATATTAACAATAAAACTGTCCATGATATACATGTTTTTATTAGAGCTTAATTAGATTTGCTTTTTCAAACTTATACAGTTCAGTAAAATTAATCATGAGCAGGATAGGAGTAATAATTTTGGGAAATATGATAGCATCAATATATGCAGTTCCAATGCTATGTTCTAATCAGAAAATACATATTCCTTGATTTTAGAATATATGTCATAAAATAGACCATCGAATTTAATGGATTTATATCAGTAAAAAAATATTTTTTGTAAGTTCTAAAACTTAATTTTAACTGTAGAGTTCTTGAGTACTTAATTTGAAATAGTTCTTTTGGTATGTAACTCTTAGAAGGTATTATATATTGTATGTGAATTCTAGGAATATCCTCTCTAATCTAAATTTGCACATTCAACTACTTACTTGAAAACACCACTGAGATGTATCACCAAAACCTAAAGATGAATATGTCCCTAAGGTAACTATTTCATCTGCCAATATTTTTATTTCCCACAGCACAGATTACTTGCTTATTTATTTATTTATTTATTTATTTATTTATTTATTTATTTTCCATACATTTCCTGAATTTTCCTTGACCTGCTCCAAAGAAATTGTTGGGAATAGAATACAAATTAAGCAGGAGAAAGATACTATGCAGCAAACAAGAGAAAGATTTGCGGCAGGCAGTGTGGAAAAAAAGAGAAAGAAAGGAAATACTCTGGTAACAGTGAAAAAAAAAAAAAGAAAAGAAAAGAAAGGAGACGATTCTCATAGTACCTGAACTATCTGATGCTTCAAAGGAAAGAAAAGCCCAAAGGCATGAAGGTCTATGAAACTTACCTTAGCATATTCCCATATTTGGAAAGATAATTTTTAAACTTCAAGAAAACTCATTTCACATAAACATTCATAACACAATAGAACTGTGGTTGACTTCCATACCAATTCACTCCAGGTTAAAAAAAAAATTATGAGCAGAATAAACATCTTACAGACAAATGAAGACATATCAACAGAATATGATCTCCCAAAAAAGATTTAAAAACTGAAGCTTAGTATTTCAAAATAAGCCAAATAAAATTAAAATGTGAAATAAAACATAAGAACTAGGAAAAATGAGAAAAATAAAATTATGAAAATAGGAAAGCTTGAAAATAGGCCTGCATTCTAGAATGATTTAGACATAAATATTAAATAATCTTAGAAATAAAGACAAAACCAGACAATGAAAAAGAATAGTTCTCTTACATGATACAATAAAAGAAATGGACAATGAAAAATACAATAGTAAATTTTAAAATCAAGCAAAAATTAATAGAGTCACAAAATGAGGAAGTAATAGAAAAGGTAGAGAAAGTACACACACTTACGCATTCCAAGTGAAAACAAAAGCAAAGAATATGTATTAAAAAACTGTAATTTAAAAAAGGTTAAAAAAATAAAAACTGTAATTTAATATAACTTTCCTGAAATAAGTAAGAATTATACCTTCATATGGAAAGAAAATATCATTTCTCAAAAAGAAAAGCCCAAATCAATACATATTAGGGTAAAATTATTAGATTTAAGCTCCAAATGATTTAAGCTCCATAAGTGAAGTGCTTTAAATGACTTTAATGATAAACCAAGTACTACTCAAACTATTTGAAAGCATAAACAAAGAGAAAACACCCTCTAAGTTCTTGTTATAAGTTGAGTGTAATATTGATTATAAAACCTGATAAAAATTGCTCCAAAAATGAAATCTGCAAACCATCCATGCATGTAAATATTAATAAAAATCTTTGATTTGTAAATTTAATATTATCGCAATAAAGATACAGATCTTCACTTTTTCTTGAGATACAAAATTATAAGGGCTATATGAAAGAACAAATTAGAATAGAGAAAACCATAAAAGGGATATTCTAGTCCCCTCTATATGAGATGTATTTTATGTTCTCTATTTGTAAGATAATAAGATATTAGAAAATGAATGGAGTAAGATAGAAAATCTGGAAACAGACATATCTGAAATAAAAATTCAGTATTTTACAAACATAGCATCAGAAATCCGAGAGAAAAAATATTCTTTATAATTACTAGAGTTGGAATAATGGCATAGCCACATGAGGAAAACACAAAATTATCTCCACACACTGCACACACCAGTATTAGAAGAAAGTAATTCATCTATAAACTTGAAAGTAGGTAAAATAGTCTTAATTATGACTCACAAAATATAACCAATAAAGGATAAAATTAATAATTTTAGTTATGTTACTTGTCCAAAAAATATGACAAACATCATAATCAATAAAGAACAAATGACAAAACTATGAACCACATTTGCAATGAAAAATATTTAAAGGCCATCAGATCTAGTCATTAAGATTTTAAGATAGGGAAAAAAAAAAAAAAAAAAGATTTTTAAGATAGGGTAATTTGGACTACAGACCAAGTTGGATATTCAGGTATATTCCAAAGATAAAAACAGATGCAAGTTGTTGCTCAGCAGCATGCATACAGTAATAGTAATGACAAAGAGAAGATTAGCATGGACCCTGGGAAACTAACATGTAAGTTCATGAGACATTCCATATTTTTCTATACACTTTAAAATGGCTAAAATGGGAGCACCTGGGTGGCTTAGTCAGTTAAGCATCTGCCTTTAACTTGGATCATGATCCCAGGGTCCCAGGATTGAGTCCCTTATCAGGCTCCTTGCTCAGCTTGGAGACTGCATGTCCCTCTCCCTCTGCCCCTGTCCTCCTGCTCCTGCCCTCCCTCTTTCTCTCACATAAATAAATAAATAAAAATAAAAAAATAAAATTTATTGTATTTATTATTTTATTATTTTATTTATTTATTTAAAAAAATAAAATGCTACGGTGATAATTTACATTTATTGTACCATAAAAAAATAAACTGATAGATAAAAAGGAATGAAAAAAAATGTAGAAGGAAACAAAAGAACATCTTAAAATTTTTCACAATCTTAAATTTCATAAAAATAGTGTATTGGTATTATTCTGAGTTTGTAGTAATACTTTAAAAATGAGAAAAAAATAAAAATAAAAATGAGAAAAATCTAGCTGGTTAGATCAATCCCACTAAGAACAAGAAGAATGAAAACTGTACATAATGTACTTCTTGATGTGATACAACAGGAAACTTATAACTCCCCCTATGAATATTATTATGAAAAAAGATAGGACAAACTTGATCAGCCTTCCAAATATAACAGGAAATAAAAAGGTATGCAGATAACCCTACCTAATACAAAGGGAGACAATGAGCAAAATCAAGAATGTGCAAAGTTACATAGGATCAATCCCCTTGGTTCTGATTCAAACAAACTCTAAATTAAAAATACTATGAAATATTGAAAGATGTGAATATGGTGTTTTTCACAACATGAAAGATTTGCACTTACTTACTGTAGAAAATAAAAATATTAGAATTATGGTTTTAAAGTGCCTTTAACTGATATATATTGAGGAATCTATGGAGGTCGTAAAATGATAATCTAAGATTTACCTGAAAAAATAACTGAGATGGGTTGTGGATGGAGAATAAGTATAAACTTAGAGAAAAATATAATGCCTATTTTGAAATTGGATATTGGATCCATAGAGGTTCATTACCTTACTCTTTCCTTTTATATAGTTATATTTTTCCATAATTTATTTTAGGTAGTATCCACATTAAAATCACAGACAAAATAAATAATAATGGATGAGGAAAAATCATCATCTCAAGTTATTTACAAGGTGTGAGTCAGAAGAAAAATAAAAAAGAATCTAAGTGTATACATGCTTTATATTTTAAAAACTCTATTTACATTGCTTCAACTCATTGCCCAATATGATCATACTTTTTTTTTTAATTTAAAATGTACGTGATTGGACATGTAGAAAATTGTTAACCAAAAAATTGTTGGTCAAACATTCTCTTACTTTCTCTTTTTGTGAGAAAGTAAGCATTTCTTGGCTATATTTATTTTTATCATCGACTCATCTTAAGGATTAGGCATTAAATGCCAGTTAAAGAACATTTGCTATTTACTCTCCCCTAGGGAGAAATGTGACCTCATTCCATGTTCTGAATAACACAACAGTACCCTAGTGATTAGTACATCAGGTCAGATGGGAGGAAAACACAGGGCTCTGCACTTGTAACAACCTGCTCAGCCTTAAACTGGTTACCAAGGGATATAAAGGTAAACCACTAAAAAAGTAAAATAAAATAAAAGGTCAATTGATTAAACAAGGTATATAATAAAACAAATCCTGTATTTATGTTACTGATTAGAGGTAACAGACTCCTGACGGTGTGTATCTTTTACACTCTGTTTAGATATAATAAACATCTAAAAGTTTAATTTCATTTTAAGATTACAGCTTTCTATATTGAGGGGGCTATTGTCATTTTAACTACCATCAGTTCAAGCTTTGAAACACTCCCATCACCACAAAAAGCTCTTAGATGCCCTTAAGTAGTCAATTCTCACACCTACCCTTCCTTCTAAACAATAATCACTGATCTTCCAGATAGCAAAGTGCGATTTTGCCTTTTCTAGAATTTCAAATAAAGCCATAAAATAAGTAGTCTTTAGTGAGTGGTTTCTTTCACATGGCTCCTAACTGCAGTACGGGAACACTTTGCTGCATCATTGCAGAGTGTCTTCCTGATAGAGTAGAGAGCACTGAAAAATAGGGCAGAAGGCCTTAATCCTACCTCTTCCACTCCAGTGTGTGAACTAAGATATATATTTTAACCTCTCTTGTCCAGCAACAGTAGGATGAGGAGCATATACTATCTGTCCTCCTCAAAGCTGCTTTGTTGAACTAACTAGAGAGATGGATAAAGTGCTTTCTAAATTACAACTCCTAAAAGATCAATTCCAAATAAAAACTATCAGAAATAAGAGAAACTGATATTTTTAAAAAACATTTTATTAACAAAAATAAATGCATATTAAAATATAAATTTTAAATATTTTCCTTTTTCATGGGGAAATGGGAATAAGATGGAGAAAGACAATAAATTTTATGAAATTGGAATAAAATAGGAAAAAAACCTAAAACTAGAATTATAAGAAGGAACAGTGTTGTATCAAAATTATCAAAACCTAACAAAACCCATCTAAAAAAAAAAACAACTAGCAAGCTTTAGAAATATACATTTTTAAAATTTTAATCATCATCAAGAATTTATTCTATATAAAACACATTTGACAAAGTTATAGTTATGAAACAAAGCATATAATCCTTGTCTTCACGTTTCTTCTACTTTCCCTGTCAACATGGAAAAAAGAACAACAAAAAAAGGGCTTTTAAATAAAATTTAAGGACAATGCAAAAACAGTCATCCAGCAAAATAAGATCATAAAGATTATGTGAAGGTTGAATTTTTAACTTGATGAGAAAAAAAAATAGTAGTTTTTTTTTTCCTATTAGTTTTATTTCTTACCTGATGTCAAAAATGAAGACATCTATTGTCCCTACATCACCATCACTGTGATAGATCTTTCCTGATCCATCTCTGAATCTTGAAATTTCCCTCTGCCTCTCAAGAGGGAGCAACATAACTGCAGTGTTACAGGCTAGACAGAGAATTTCTGACACAAGAGGAAATTGAGGAAAAGTCATAATTTACAAGGAGGTATAAAGGACCATGACACTTGGGAAGGAGTAAAGAATGGGTTATACGAGAAGATAGCTTGTCTGGGTAGGTTGAATTTTGCCAGTTGAAAGAAAATGCAATAGGAATGCTCCAGTTGGTGTGGACATTTTAGGAAGGCTAAGACAGAGCACTTGACTTTTGCTTTTTTGTCTTTGTAAGTTGGATATATTATACAGATCTGAAGTAAAGTGCTAACTGAAAGTTTTTCAAGCATCTATAGGCTCTTATCTAGTGAATAAAAAGGGAGAATCTTTCATCTATGACTACAAAATGTCAAATCTCAATCAGATGTGTGATGAATCTTCACTAATGATGGTCACAGGATAAAAAAGCGGACCCATTAAATTAATCTGGCTAACTAAAATTAAGATTAATTTCTCCTTATTTTGGTCACTCATTTCAGGATAAAAGACACGAATAAGAAAGTTAAATAAATTTTAAATTACTCTTTATTATCGTGAGTATAGAAGTATATGGCATACTGAACATCAGTTTTATTAGTTATGGTAAAGAAAGAGTAATAATTTAAGGCTTGAACACTGGGAAATTTCAGGCAGAAGAAATTAATATATATGACAACAGGGTTGAACATTTAATTAAGAAACTAAAAACGAAACAGAAAAATTATTATAATATGCTCAAATTTAGCAGTAGGAGATCATAGAATCAAAGAGAAATTTTCTGATTCTATATAAATATACTACTTGTTATAAAAAATTATAGTCCCTAAAATAATGGAAACGTATTTATTTGTTCAACAATATTTATTTCATGCCTGTGATATGCTAAATTCTGTTCTAGCCAGTACAGATAAAGCAGTAAGGGAAGCATAGTAGTGAACAAAATAAAGTCCCTCCTTTTGTGGTGATTTATACTAAAATGAGGCTGCAAGACAGAAAATAAATAAATGAATATATGGTATGCTGTCATATAATGCTATGAAAAATTTTTAAAAAGGTAAGCAGATAAAATAGGAAAGAAAATTAAAATTTTAATCAAGATATCCAAGGAACATCCTTCTGGGGAGATAACATATAAGGATTAATCTAAATGATATTTTTCAGGTAGAGGAATCTGGGATTACCAAGACTCCACAGTGGGAATATGTGAAGCATGAGATATGACTGGTAAAGACATCAGTACAGCTGAAGTAGAATGAGCCAGAGAAAGTGATAAGATTTGTTGAGGTCTATACTTTTCATACATTTATACTACAAAAATGTTTAAATATGTTCTTATTGTTTGAAGAGTGCTACTTACAGTTTAGTACATAGGAAGTGCTACATGGCATACTTAGAAAGTAGCACTTGCTACAAAACTAAAACTTTTTTTTCTTTTCCTTCATAGTAAAAGCCTAATAAGCCTGTGTAAGATAGCGGTTATCACATTAGGCTTTACATATAATTATTTACAGAATGCAATAGATTTTGGCTTATTACAGTTATGTCATCATAACCACTGTATGTAATAGAATGTAAAAAATATTATTGTCACTTTAAGTCTACAGTTGACTCTTGAACAACATGGATTTGAACTGTGCAGGTCCACTTCTACAGTTTTTCTTAATGTATAAAGATAGTACTACAAATGTATTTTCTCTTCCTTACTATTTTCTTAATAATATTTTATCTTTTCCAGCTCACTTTATTGTGGGAATACAGTATACAATAGATATGTGGATTTTCAACTACACAAGCAGTCAGCACCTCTAACTCCTGCATTGTTCAAGGGCCAACCATATATTGAAAGATATGCTGATAAATTGATGAATGATTAAATGAATGATTTAACTGACAATATCAGTTAGCTGTTTTTGCATATCAAACCATTCTAAAATTTATTGGCATAAGCCAACAAATAAGTTAATGACAGTTTGAAAAGAAAATGTTAAAAAAATACAAATGACTAAAACTTACCCC